TTGAACAAACTACTTGACAGGGCCAAAGAACTTAAACTGCTTCAAGGGATTTCTATGTGACACAGGGACAATCAAATTGAATTAACACATCTATTTTTCGCGGATGACGCCTTCATTTTCTGCCATTTTGGCATCCGCTCAATGACTTTCTTGAAATGCACTTTACTATGTTTTCAAGCGGTGTATGTTATAAAAATCAATCTTCACAAATCTAAATTGGTGGTGATGGGTTCTCAATCTGGTGAATCTCTGGCACAAATTCTGGGTTGCAAAGTTTCTCAATTACCCATCTCGTACCTTGGCGCCCCCTTGGGGCCAAATACAAAGACAGAAAATGTTGGGATCCAATCATTGATACGTTTCAAAACAGACTTGACAACTGGAAGAGGAAATTCTTATCAAAGGGGGGACGATTAACTCTCATTAAAAGCAGTCTATCTAATCTCCCTATTTATCTCATTTGGTGTTCAACATTCCAACTTGTATTGCCAACACTCTCGAATCCATTCAGTGTAACTTTCTCTAAGGAGATGATGATAGTAACAATAGGAAAATCCACCTTGTAAACTGGAAAGAAGTCAAGAAACCTATTAAAGAGGGTGGTTTGGGCTTAAGATCTATAACTATACTTAACAAAGCCCTTATTGGGAAATGGGTTTGGAGATTCTAGAACGAAAGTAATAGCCTATGGAAATCAATCATATTGTGCAAATGATTCAACGGTAACTATTATGATCAATCTAGAATTAAAAATAGCACATTTGGTTCGAATCTTTGGAAGAACATCTGAAAACTAAACAATATTAGTCTACAACACTCTAGTTGAGTTATTTAGAAGGGCAACAAAATAAGATTTTGGTCTGACATGTGGCATGACAAGTCTATTTTTCAAACAAAATTCCCTCTTATTTATAGTATTGCCGGTGACAAAAATATTTTGGTTAAACATATTGTGGTTCTTGACAATCAGGGCTTTTGGCAGGTGTCAGTATTCAAAAACTTACAAGATTGGGAGTTAGAAGAATATTTATCCTTACTACAGACTCTGTCTTCAATTCAAGTCTATGATAAGAAGAACAATTTAAAATGGTTACTCTCCAAAAATGGTACCTTTACTGTCAGATCTCTTTACAACCACTTAGTGGACAATCTTAATCAGAACAACATTACCTTCTCTTTCAACATAATATGGAAATCGGGTGCAACTCCAAGAATTTCATTTTTTGCTTAGGAAGCTGCGAAAGACCACATTCTTATCCTTGACAACCTAATGAAAAGAGATTTCACGATTGTCAATAGATGCTTCCTATGTAAAAACAATTTTGAAACTTGTAACCACTTGCTTTTAGGCAGTTCGGTTTCACAGCACCTATGGAACACCATTATTAGTCTTATGGGGCTGTCTTAGTTCATGAACAACAACATTCATGCTAAACTCCTAGCATGAGAAGGCATCAGCAGCAAAAGGAAAATGTTAAAATTAATCCCATTACCATAATATAGGTCCTTTGAAAAGAGAGAAACAATCGCGCTTTGAAGGAATAGAACTTGATTTTAACAAACTCATTGATTGTTGGTTTCACTATTTTGATTCCATTATTTTGGAACATAACATCGACTGTCTTGATGATCTTGATTTTGTTGTCAATAGTTTAATTGACTTGTAAATACATTTGTAAATGGGTTGCGGTCCCTTGGCACTCTAACATCAATACAACTCCACACTTTTATTTCAACAAACAAATATTCATTCCCTTCTTTAATTATAATTATTGTTTAACTTTATAGATGCTTTAAATAGACCAAAACTCAATTTTCATATAATCAACTTTTCTGTAATAACCTTTAAGCAGTCCCAAAATCCTTTACATATTCTGACCATATATACTATCAGATGTTAATCAGAAGATTGAAGCAATATTCAAACAAACAAATAAGAGAGAAGTTCAAATTTCATAATCGTTGCCAACCTTTGACATCACTTCTTCAAGCTCTGAGAAGCCACCTTCATCTAATGATTCATCTAGGGCCTCATCACTCTCAGCCTCACCATAAAGCTTAATGCCATCAATCAGTATACCTTCTTTAACCAAAACCTGCATAAAACCAGGGAATTCTTTATTTAGACAATTAAAGTTTAATCATGTTAGTATATTGATTATCAATAATTCCACTGAAAAAACTGAAGAAAGGGAGGAAGGACCACCAATATGAAAGAATAACATAAAGGAATCAGAGACTGCTAATTAATACCTGCAAGAGTTCAGGGGCATCTTCCTCTAGTGCTTCTTTTACTGAACCCCTGCAATTTAGTTTTAAAGAATTTATTTATCATAACAGTCAGACCAAACAAAAATGTCATAAAAGAAATTAAAAAATCTCAAGAGCAGGTATTACCTGGCAGTCTTCTTTCTTTTTGGACGCCTGACACTGCGAGGTTTAGCAGACTCTGAGATAACTAGGCTAGACTCAGAGGACAAAGGAGCAACCTTCCATAGACTAGACTCAGAGGAAAAAGGTACAACCTTCCGGAGGCTAGACTCAGAGGAAAAAGGTACAACCTTCCCAAAGCACTCAGAACTGCTAGATGTAGTCTGTTCAGAAAACCTCATAGATTTTCTAAACTTAATTCGATCAGCCAACGTCATATTGTCTATCATCTCTTCATAGAGTTCAGACAGGCTATCCACTTCACTCTTTACCTGTGGTCCAGTAAAGGATAAGTCTAGGTTCTGCATGTCAATGGACTCAATGCCACCTGAAGGTTCAACCCTCACAGAGGACTGCAAGGTGGAACATTTTATCTCATCAATTTGTATAGGCAAAGAATTCTCTACTTCAGGTGAATATAACTGCATAGACTTGCAAATCTTGCCACTTCCTTCAGCATAATTTCCTGATTTGGTTACTTCAGCTCCACAGTGATCATCCAATGATGAATATTGCTTGGCTGTAAAAGGCAATCCAGCAAATTTGCTATTGACCCTGCAAAATTATGTATAAAAATATTATTTAATAATATGTAGCAATTTACCAAAATAAAAATACCTTTAGTAGAAAAAAAATAAAATGTACAGACGAAAGAGCAGGTCATTTAGAAGAGAACACACCTTAGCCGCAATTCTTGATGTTTTTCTAAAGCAGCCTGATTAACATTGTTATCATTAAAGTTATTGTGGACATCATTTCTGACTTCAACTGCTTGGACACCAGTACCACCAGATTCATTATCACAACTTGTTGATGAACCCAACAGATATTCATCCAAATATTCAACCTTTGCTTTACTAGAAA